ATAACATTGATAAATGGCAGGTATGACGTTAAAGCTTATACAGTAGAGTCCCGCAAACTCGGCGTAATGTGGACTGGGAGGGTGCCGAGTTTGTGAAATGTCAGGTAATCGGGAACTAGGGTTAAAAATAAGGACAATACAATTTTTAAGCTTTTTAATCTCCTTTTTTAATATTACAAGTCAGTATTAAGTCATCAGATATAGTACAAAAAATCCTTGGTACGAGTTGTGAATGATTTTACTTGAGCTGGCTTGAGTCCATGTTTAACTCGGACTCAAAATATCACTAATTTTCTGAGCCAGGTGATGGCCGAGTTATCCAGACTGCCGGATTATCGAGTGCCGAGTTGTAGGACTCTACTGTAGCAATACTAGGTCATGTTAAAGCCTGGTTTACAGGACCCGATCTCGGGGCCGTCAAATAAGGACGTTGCTCTTTTTTTTCTTCCTAGACTTTTTTCTAGAAGCCACTATACGTAAAGAATAACTGTAAAATGTTTGATCGCTGATGAGTTAAACAGAACTTTTGCCAATAATCAGGATTGCATAGTCTTGCCATATTATTTTTAGGAAAAGCACTTTGGGAAAAAGAAACAAACCAACCACTAGCTAAGAGTTTCAGGCAGTTTGTAGCTCACAACAAAATGTTGTGAAATTTGTGAGCACAGTACTATCTTTGGCTGGGTCTCTTTTCTTTAGTGAGTTGGTTTTGTATCTGTTATTTCTTTGCTGTTGTATTAAGTCTTGGACATACGTGTTGCTAACAAATGAGGTCTGAATATGTACCTATGAGGTCCTTAAAAGGTAATTTTAGTATTTTGAGACTGTGTATTTTGGAAATGTATAAGATTGTATACCTGTTAGTTTGGACTTTAAGCTAGGTAAGATGTAGTGTAATATGTAAATTAACCAGGTATAGTTTTTTTTGTTGGACTAATACTATCTCTAACCCTTAATCTTCAGCAGTGTTTGTAACTCTGTGGTGGGCTGTGTTAACCCTCCAATGTTTGATGTTTAAAAAAATATTAAGAGAGCTATATATTATTTTAACTCTCTTGAAATTTACCTGTAAATAAATATGTAATCAATGTAAGTCCCAAGTCCCTGAAAAACACTTTTGGGATGGATCCAGTTTTTTTTTATTTAACTAGTACAGTATCATTTATGGGTTGTCTATAAATTAAAGTAAATTTAGCTCCCTTCAACCAAATCCAGATCGAATCAGAGACCAACGTTGGGTTCTTGCCATCGTTCACTATACTTTTGCCTGTTTCCATCACCTTATGGGACGATTAGTCTGGTCATTACTATGATGGGTGATGGCAAAGTATATGATGCCCCCCCCCCCCCCAAGTTTGAATAGTATTATGATCAGTTTTCTGAAGTCTTGGTTGTCAGCTGCTGTTAAAGTTAATGGATGTGAATGGAGTAAAGTGTTTAGATGTAGGAAATGTCTGCAAGGAGTGAAGAGAGTTTGAAATTGGTCTTAAATATTTGCCCGATGCCTTCCATGGTGTAGGCCGACTTCTGTTGTTCATCAGCTTCGTTTGAGTGACTAAAGTTGGGGTAGTTTCACATGCAGATCAAGGTGTGACTGAACAAAGGGTATTGTTGAACTAATAGGTTACATCTCCATAAGACTATTAAGGACCACGGCCAACCTGGAAGTCTCAAACACGCAGATGAGCAAAAGAATTTTCTTCAAATTTTATCACTGGTTTAATATTGGAATCTGATAAACGCTACCAAACCAGTTGTGCAAATGTTACAATCTTCTCCCTAAGCCACTTGTAGACACGTCTCTCTATGTCAAACACTATTCTGTATACACATCCGGCAACGGACACTAGTAAACAGGAATTGTCCCCTTTTCTACAGAATCACAGAACATTATTTATACTTAACAGGAGCGACAATTTTCTGTCACAATTTTGTATATATTTTTGATACTATGACAAGAATAACCATCCCACACAGGCTAGAATAGTAGTGGTTGAAATAAGAACCATGATGTTGGTCTTTGAACTACCTCGCTTGCCTGTAACAGGGGCTCTAGGACAACCCTGCATAATCAGATTTTATTGTTTTGTTAGATTAAAAACTTGCCAAAAGTGTTTTGTTTTTGATGTTTGGGAATTTTTGAGGTGATAGCTTGAAGTTCTTATGTTTTATGAAATGGTTGTTATGGTATTGTCACCAATTGTACCATCAGTTTGGATGCCTGTTTACCCCTTGGTAAACCCCTGATTATTGTTGTAAATTTGTGTTGCCAGTTGTACTGGTGCTCTTGATACGGCTTTTTCCTGGTAAAATAACTATTCATCCCACCATCACTTGTTAAAGAAATACACTTTACTTTCTCATGTTTCAATGAAGTACGAGGGTGGATCGGAAAGTAAACTCCGTTTTTCTATACATGAAACACGGAAGTAGAAACATCATTTTACATTTTTATTATATACATCTTAAAAGTACATCTTTCCCTTACTTTTCAACGTAGTTTCCTTGGACATTGATTTATTTCATTTTATTATTTTCTATGGAATAATTTTTAAATCTCCTCAAATAAATTCCCCTCCAGTACCTTGAGCCATCTCGTAAATGCATCTTTCAGTTCCTGATCATTGTCAAATCGCTGGGAGCAAAGCCACTTTTTTGTGCAATTGAAGAGGTGGTAGTCGCTCAGGCCAAGTCAGTTCTATATGGAGGATTGATGTATTACTGCAGTAACTGAATGAATGAAACGATAAACGTGCTTTATTTTCAAAAGAATTGTTACAAACCGAGGGTCCACGCAGGAAGCTACAATCTTCAATACTTATTGTTTCACAAACAGTCTGTGTGATTTTACATAATTTTTTGGTTATTTCATCATACATTTTGACTCCTAGAACTATAAACATTTTTAACCAACTCAAGAAAATTTTAAAAATCTGAACTCTAAGTGTTTTATAGCTGTTTGATTTATACTCACAAATAAACACAAAGTAATCTGTAAAATTTTAAACATTTCCGCTCAAATATAATTTTGAATCAAACAATTATTAAAATTATAATAAGTAATTTTGATACGTTAAATTCTATTTTCAATCACCACCTAAATTTCCAATCTTCTTTTAAAGATTACAGTAAGTACAATAATGCAAAAAACTACTGTTATCTCTTTAAATCAAAGTAGCCTTTAAATTCCAACCATCCATTAACCAAAAAAGTAGGTTATACAAAACTTCTTTGCCCGATTTATCGGTTATGGCAATTGTTGTAATACTGTATACTGTAGGCCTACTACCTCCTCATATAACTACGCCCCAACTCTCCACACAACTAACGCCCACTGTCACACAGGTGTCGGAAGCCAGCAGTGAGGTGGGCGAGGTTGTTGTTGTAGACGACCCTCCTATCGCACGCAGACAGAGCTCCGCAGGATCTGTGGCAGGGGTGGGGGTAGCCCCTGTCACAGGCCTACCTCCAGAGCTACTCCCTCGTCAACTCAGCCAGACTCACTCGGAGCCCGAGGGCAGCACTTGCGAGCCACTTGGAGCCAAACATGTGGAGCGATCGGTCACTTGGGCGGAGCCGAGAATCAAAGTGATCCCCCCGCAAGGTCCCAGTGCTCGCAGCATGCTAATGGCCATGCATACAGAGTATACTAGGTGAGTTGGTGGTTTTTAGATACAATTTTGTTTACCTAATTTAATAGCATAACTTTTACTTCCACATTATCACTGTTATATTTTTATAGGTTATGGATGTAAGATAGAACAGGAGAACCTAGGTATTTAAGATTTTTAGTGAGGAAAGCAGGCTTTCCTGGATGGAAAAGATTTTCAACAGACTCAAGATAAAAAAAAACATTAGAATACTTCACTGACAGCATTTTCAACCAAGGAAGGTATGAGTTGAAGATGTTTCCTACAGGCCTATAGTCATTATAAAATTTGTCATTTTTCTTCAGCTTTATATCATCCACAGGACAGCTGCAGTTTTGGAAGTGCTTCCATCATCTAGACCTATGATTCAAAGTCAAAGAAAGTGATTTCAATTTGATATATCTATGACTTGTAATTTTTTCCTGACTCTTTGTTTGTTTTTTTCAACTACAACAACATATTTCACCGCAACTCAGTACAACACTTTTGAATCTAGTATCTTGATTTTTACACAATTTTTTCAATTATGAGTAATTAAACTTAATTTTTGTTACTATAATACTCTATAAAATTCAAATCTGAATTTCTGTACCTAAAGATATTTCTTTTTTGTAAATTTCTTATATAAGGTCTCCTCACACACTATGGTATGTTTTTTCACATTACACGGTTTCTGACCATATTGTCCAATTGACATGCAAAATCGTAAACAATGATCAGTGCAATAAAAAGCTGACGCTGTTGAGTTGGCTCTGTAAGTATGTCTATATCTAATCTGATAGGCTCCCAAGCGGCTAAAAACCAAGCAGCCTGAAAGCTTGTCTTTCACTCCATGCACCACTGAAGCACAGGCATGGCGCCACAACCGTCCGCTTCAATGGCAGTAGACAGCTGCAAGACGGCACGGTTCTTCACCGTCGCTGTAACCGTGTAATGTGAAAGCTCTCATGCTCTCCTTAACACTACTAAAAATGAATATGTTGGTTTTTAATCAGATGGCAAAAACCAAATAGTGTGAAAGAAGGTTTGCATCATTGACTTTTAGATACCAGGGAATAAATCTATAATTATGGATCAGCTATCACTAATTATTTGTATTCAAATAGAACACAGTTGAATAAACCAATCACAGAATACGCTTCCATTACAATTCTATTTTCTCCCTTTTCTCCACACTAAGATGCTTAACTACATTAATTTTGTGTCTAAAACTGGTTTTGACTATAACATGGGAATAGAATGTGTTTATATGTGTGTATAGGAAATGTTATCCTTTGTGTTGTAACAGCATCACGGATGAGTTGGAAACACTGTGTGGATTGTTGTCTCCGCCACGCTCCCCTCGCCTCTTGTCACCACCCAGAATAGGTGAGACTTCTACGAGCACCCATCGCTCCAGACACCACTCCGAGATGTCCAACCCAGAGATGGCATTGGTCTGGGAGAAAGAACATCTCAAGGTAGTGTAGAAACTTTATAACTAAGCATCTGCCATGCATTACAAAATCCATTGAATTTCTTACAAAACAGACAAAAGTTTATTTTTTTTTTATTTAAGCCATCGTAGTAAATTAATAGCCATGAATAGTCAATTTATTTATTTATTTCAACTTAAAATAACTATACAATATTGTAAATGACTTTGTTTTGTCAACAATAATGATTGCCATGATAAATAGGCTAGCGTAATGTAGTTATTGGATAAGAAGAAAAGAGTCAACATGGTAGGCAGCTAACTTGCAAATTTTCCATACCTTCAAGTTTCAAGAGCATTGTGCCCAAGAGTAAACTGTGAGTATATTATGAAAGCTTTTCAGAACTCATAGGTCAATATCACAGAGAGCTACAATCACAGAAACCTAATAACACTGATATAAATTTGACCTTAGTGAAATAAACATTAAATTATTACACATACAGTAACCAACCGTCCTACGATTTCTTTTCTCATTTGTGATCGTGATTTGTCCAGGATGCAGAGGAGAGCGATTATCTACTGATGGAGGGTTTGATACAAACAAGATTCCAGCGAAGTGACAGCGACGATAAATTCCACAACAACGCCTTCTTCCTTACAGCTGACCATAGTCTTGATAGGGGACAGGTAAGAGTCATAATAGAATACAAATTGAATTTAAGTTGCTAACATCTGTGTTTTAGAAATCAATTCTGCCAAAAAAGTGTTCTTTATCTTATCCCCATTTGATAAAAACTATTGTTTCCAATAATATAAATATAAATCAAGAAATTTGTGTGCAGAATGTTAGCTGTGAAGACTACAAGATCTTGTCACTCATCCTCACTCATATTTGGGTTAAAATATGCACCTAGTGGCGTCCCCATCTTAAATAATTGATAATTGATTTGAAATAGAAATATTGCGTAGCGCTCAACAGTGTGTGAATTCACTTGGATAGTAGGCTACTAGAAGTATGTGAAGCACTTGTTTCTTGTGTGCATGTTTTTCATTTTGTGGAAAAACTGAAAAAGTCTGAAAAGTGCAAACATCATGAAAACAAATTTAAACAATTTTGGATGCATTTGGCAAACAATGTTTCTGAAAACAAATTTTTAGGTGTGGACAAGGCTTTAAAATTAATATTTTCATTAATCCAAAACAAGACATAACCATTGCCAACAATATAAAGATTAACGAAACCCCCAAACAAAAATAAATAAATTGAAAAATGTGTAAGGCTCAAAAACCAATAAAAGTAATTTATTAATTAATTGTTGCAGGGACGGCCATTGAGACGAGCAAGTGCCATAGAGGGCGACATCCCCACCCCTTGTCTCTCTCAAGCTGTTAGTCTGGAGGAGAACATCACTGCAGCAGGCGACGGAGCGGCCACAATCACAGGGGTGTCTGACTGTGGTGCACAGGGGGAACTGGAAGTACCCTCGGGATCCACCAAACTAAGTGTAGAGTCTTCTAGCATCAAGAGGCTATCGGACAGTCAGAACAGTCTAGTTCCCAATCCTGAAACCATGTGTTGACTTCAAACTCAATGAATTCAAGTGTTGATTGCAACATTTCCAACTGTTGTTGATGATTGCGAGTCTGCGAGTTGAAACATCTTGGATTGGTTTTGTGTTAAGTTGCTATTGTGATGCAGTTGAAAAATGTCGGATTGGATTTTTGTTACGTTGACAAAGTTTTGAGCACTTGTTAAGACGTCACTTCCACTTCCACTTCTCAGAGTCCGCTACCTGCAGTTGTCAGGTGTTAAGCCTTTGGTCAAACACCTGTTTTTACCATTAATTGGTGGCTATCGGACCGTTAGGAATTGATGATTGTTTAGTTTTAATCAGTCGTTACTGTTTATATAATGCACAATATTTTTATCGAGAATATTTTTAAGATTGTTGTGTATAGTGTATTGTATCATTAAATCGGTATATATTACATGTAAATAATAGTGATCAACACTGTAAGTTTTTTCTCTCTGAATGAGACTTTGCCAATTATATTTCAGTGTTTTATAGCATTTTCTAGTTTCACCTAAGTATTGTTTAAAAAGTTTTTGTTTTTTATTCAACCTCTTCTTGCTGTTTACATTTTTTTCAACAATATAATGTAAACTTAATTTTTATGAAAATTTCATAATGAATATGTTTAATAAAGTATCTTTTTTAAATTTTAAGATTGTAGATTTCTTCTCACAATCTTTTCATGAAGGTTACCTATTTTTTAGCATTTGATTTGCATGGGAAGTACATCAAAACCTTTTATCCTGTTTGTGCAAAATTATGTTATTTCTTACATATTTTGTTCTTATTGATCAACCTATACAAATCCTGAAAGTACTGCAAACGCCTATATCATACTGAAATTTGGATTTATCAGTTTTAATTTAAAGACATTTTTTTTCATTAAATTTATTAAAACTTAAAACAAACTTCCATATCACACCACCATATCATATTGTATAGGTGCTGAAGTCAGGATCATACCAAGCAAGACCATTGCATTATATAAACTGTAACTGTACAGTGATGCTGTAGCTTTACAGTCAAATGTATCAGTCTACAAAATCTACTTTGTACCAAAGCAATGTTTAGAGATTTGTTACTTGGGACAAACCAAAGTATATCAATAAAAGGTTGTCGTTTAAATAATATAATTTTGATGTTACTGCGTCAAATGACACCAAAAAGTTGATTTGTGATGTAATTTATGTGTTGAATGCGGCCTAATGTGATCCATTTCTATTGCATGAGTGTTTGATTACTTACTTATAATCATGGACACAAAACAGTTTATTTAATCAGTTAAAAAGATTTGTACTGAATAGAATGTTGATTGCCCGTTTGGGACCAACTATCCAACAGTAGAACTGAAAACCAATGTAGATTTTTGTTGTTTAGCTTATTAATTTATTACAACTGTGGATAATATTAGAAATTTACGTACACTTGGTTTCAATTCTACTGTGTTTTCGCTATATCAGTTTGTATTTTTATATATCTTTATGTTTCTAAAGGATTAGCTGTGTATGTATTGTTTTTTTTTTATTTAGCATAGTCAGTAGACTTAAAACTAGTATGTATAGTAATTTTTATCTTTTATGATGACCAAACTCTAAGTTTGTGATATGTAGTTTTTATTCTAACAATCTATGTTTTTGTTTGACTTTTTTATTTTATAGCCGCACGGTACCTAGGGTACAATATGTGAATACAATATTATTATGTGTAAACCTAAAAGGTAGATTAATTATATTGTAATGTAAGACATGAGATTTTATGAACCTTCAATGCAACATCGTTTAGTTGGGAAACAAATGCTGGACTTCACGTCAACCTTTCAATCTAGCCCCAAACAAACACAAACATATAAATAATGGTGGTTTCCTAAACAAATTTGTATATTCAAAATAATTACAGCTTATAAATAATTTTAAAATATTAATTGATCGTATTTGTATATCAACATGCTTGACAAGTAGGCCTATGGTAAGTAAAAAAACAGTATTACTGCATAGGTTATTTTACTATTCTGATCGTAAGATTCAATTAAACAGGACCCGATGTGGCAAACTATGTCCCCTCCCCCGATGGGGCTTTAAACCTATGATTTGTGAGATTCGTGCCATTGTGTAAATTCTCATATTCATGATCTTGGCCCATATTTTTTGTAAAGATAAGAAATTCCTTGCACAGAATCTGGGGAGACGAGATCGAGCTGTAGAAATCTCCTAAATAAAAATCAGAATTTTTAAAAGGTTCAAATTTTGTCATCACTCAGAGGAGTGTGTCAATCAATTTCCAACCTTTTTGAATGTTGAGGAAAGCTTTACAAATTTGAAAGCCATAAAAAAATTCTGTTTTACCATTAATTTGTAATGTTTATAGACACTGTATAACACCTAGCTCTTTACAGTATTGATGTTTTTCTATTGCCTCCAATCAACTGTTCCATGTTTTTCCTTCTCGTTTTATAGTTTTTATCATGTTTTATTAACCATAGGTCAGGACCACAATAAAAAATGTATTAAATACATTCAAATAAAATTTAATTAACATTTTTTTATCTTGATTTTGTATTTTATAACTTTATTAAAGATGAGAGTGTGTTGGTACATAAATCAGTTTTTAAATACAAATTGACAATATTAGTCAAGCAATACTTTAAGTTTTTAAAACTGCAATAAAAACAATAATTGGAAGACTGAGTATATTTCATGTTTGTGGATAATGTAATAACTTTTAACTTTTATTTGTACGTAGGGTTAAAACATAGTTTTTTAAAGCACATATCGTTTGATTTTTTTTCCAAGACAACTGATAAATTGAATAATGTTACTTTATATATCAGTTGATCCATAATTTATTTTATATAAAACTGAATGGTATATTAAATACATTTGAGCTATTCATAAATTGTATTGATCAAGTTATTAAGGTAACTTTCTTATGTACTTAAATTTTAATAGTTATATAAATAAAACTAAGCAATATTGTAGATACAAAACATTGTGACCTAAAATATTTTATTTGTGATTGTGAACGTATATTTTAATATATCTATTATCTAATAATTGTGTTTGCATGAAATTTTTATCAAGATAGACGTAGCTCACTATAATAAGATATTTTTCATATCAACATTAATTTTGTTCTACTTTTCAAATCTGTTAAGGCTAATTTCAAAACAGCATGACTTGTTATTTATATTGGTTAGTTTTATAAAAACATATAAGTAATTTATTAATATTTTTAATGTCTGCTCTAGGGAAATGTTTTAACATTATCTTTGATTGAATGTGTTAAGTATCAGTAAAAAAACAAGCTTAGTAACTTATGTTATTTGCTGGTAAGAATGATTGATATAGTTTTAGAACAATTAATTCAGGAATATAATTTTCCCATGTAAAATTACAAGATGTATTATTATGATAATCAATTGAAAAAGTAAATTTAAAATGTGTTGCCCTCGATTAAAATGTTTAAATGTAATATTCCATTTTTTTCTGAAAAAAAATGTATAACAAAAAATATAGAAGAAACGTTTTAAAAACAAACCCCTTGTTATATAAGGTACTCAATGCAATATAATTTTATATTATAATTTGATTTATTTTACCATCCAGTTTTGATGAATATTATTCAAAAACTACATCCACCTTGAAATAAGACAAATGTAACCTTCAATGTTATTAAAAACTTACAAGTATGTAACTGAAGCAAGGTGTGTGAAGTAATTTGATTGCTATCGTTGTATGGGTATCATTGCCAATAAGTTTCTATTCTGTATTGTTTTGTGATATCTTTTCTATGACTTAGCCCCTTAGCAATACTCTAGACTGTTTCCATCAAACCCTGATGTACAGTGTACTTTACTACTCTTGACAATCAACCTGTCTTCAATAAACTTGGAAAATCCATAAGCCTTTTTGTTGACCTTGTTTGTCAAATGTCAAACTCTTTTTCTTCTTGTAATTCATCCCACCTTTTCATCACAAAACGCTTGGCTCTAGCCCAGAGCATTATCAGATAAAATCCATTGGTGATTGGCAAGATTTGAGCCCTGGGCCCTGGGGACCAACTCAAGAAATGTTAATCCCTTAAAATAAAATTCTTTTTATTTTTTACTCACATAAATCACATCATGTGTACATCATGTTTTTTTTTCAATATTTCTTACTTATATAAAATTATTAAAATTAAAATTGTATGAATGTACATTTTTTGAAAATAGTCTTAGGATGCATGTGAAACAAGCACAAGATTTTCTGAAACAAGATGCGTATTTAAAGCTGAACGTGAATGCAGAATGCGCAGCAGCATAAGATGTGTAGCTTAGTGAATGGGACTTTTGCTAGCTACTGATTTCAGCTGAGGAATTGTGAAGTCTTTTGGACACTGAATTTTCCTCTCAGAATTCAGGCCACTATGAGAAAAGAAAAGTACAATAGTCCTTGGATTAAACCTTCGTCTCATTAATTTGTCATTGAGGATCAGCTATTTAAGGTATTTTTTGTCCAGTTGGGTTAGTGCATAGTGTTTTATGTTACAATTTTGTTCTTGTAAACTAAATATGGCCATTTAGTGTTTAGTCCATATTAAGATCCTTTAGACTTACTAAATATTAAACAAACGTTAAAAAACGCTTTAGAAAATAAAATCCAAACTCAACTGTCCTAGAAAAAAATCCTGAAACCTTGAATAGTCGGATGTTTTTGGTAAAAAGAATTTTTCCCATTGTTAACTTATTGCAAAACTAATAAATAAAGAACAATGACACACAATGAGTGAATTGCCAATATTACTAACGCTGTTTAATGTCATCAATAGTAAAGTAAATTACCCTTCCATCCACGTCTCTTTGCCGGAATGAAAATTTTGATGGATTCTCTTTGCCTTTAAGTTTTGGAAAGTAACTGTTTGGAGCTGGTTTCTGAGTTCTGTTTTTCAGTAGAGATGTATTTGCCCTCATTGTATATTTTGCAGCTGCAGGTTTATAAATATCTGGAGCTACAGGTCCATATCTGTTTGGAGCTGGGTTGCCAACTTTATTAGGAGTGTTAATTCTTGCACCCCTAAAAAAAATTTTAATTGCATAAATAGGTCGTAGTAGAGATAAAAAATTATACTATTTAAATATAGATTTTTTGTGTCCAGTGGTTTCTTTGTCAGTCTTAAAACCGAGTATACTGTAGTTTTTTATAGGTAACATTCTTGAATCTTGACTATTAATCATTTTGCAACATTACATCCACAAGATACACGATATTCATTCACACACACACACAAGCAACATGGGAAGTTCTGAACCTAATGTACTGGTACGGTTGCCATTGGCTGTATGGGCTATTAATTAACAGCTGTGTCTAAGGAACATGTGGGCCTTTTGTCACTAACAAGACTACAAGATCGTGCCACTCATCCTACACTCGTGCACTCATTCATCGTCCATTCATACTTGCATACATACATTGTATAAGGACCATGGTAATGTTTGTTGGGCTCCGGTTGTCCAAATCTGAAGGGTAATTTGTAGGTGTTGGGTGCTGGAATGTACTCAGGTTTCAGAGGTTTGGTTCGTCCAACCATGGTGAATTTTGGAGGGTTATGTTTCTGATGGAGATATTTCTCAGGACGGTACTGTGTTGGGGCAGGAACATAATGTCTACCTGTGAAAAAAATATGGATTAAGAATTGTTCAACAACAAATTTATTGAAATGAACTTAAGCCAATGTCTCTCAATAATGACATTATGTGTGTCGTTTTGCACGGTAACGCCTGAAATATAGTCTTAGGAAACTTTGATGATGTGTAGGATAAGCACTTGAATAACATACAAGAGAATTGATGGAACACCTTTGTTACCTATGTTGCTATAAAAGCATTGACTATTTGGTATAGCCTAACGTTTTTAACGAATTTCCCTATAGGGAAGTAGCTATTACCTGTAGTCGGCACGGTAGACCTAGGCGAATAGGCCCGAGACCGATTTACTTTTTCACCCAGAGGCCAAAAACACCATTTGTTCAAACTTTTATATATGTATATAAAATATATATAAAAATAGAGAGATTAGCGTTATATATGTTATATATGCGTGTCCGTGAACACGATAACTTAAACATTTTTGTCCAATTTTGATAAAATTTGGTTTAAAGATGTAAGGCGGGATAAACTTGAATGAGTTAGCGAACCAGCATGATCGTTCCATGGGAACAGGGTTTTATGGAGTGAAAATGTTTTTTTCTCATTTTTGACCCTCAAAACACAAAATTTCCCAATTTCTCTAGACCTTTTTAAAGAGATTAAAAAACAAATAATTTACCATATCAAAGTGTCTTTGACCAAACCTAATGTTATTTCAATTTAATAGAAAATCAATTCAGACAAACAGTGGCGGATCTAGAGCAGTCACAAGGGGGGGGGCGAACCAGGGAGTCAGGGGCGGTTCGGGGGTACCCCTCCGAAAAATGTGTGTAAACTAAGTCTCCTAAATCACAGTTTTTTACCATTTCTTTGTCCAAAGTTAGTGTGACAAATTATTTTACGCAATTTGTATGCACTACTGTATTACATGCAGTAAAAAATATATGTATATGTATGCCCGAGGGGGGGGCGGACGCCCCCCTCGCCCCCCCTCTGGATCCGCCACTGCAGACAAATGGATCTGTCGTAGTCGGCAGGTTTGCTGCGGCCCGGGTATTCTTTGTATAAATGGTTCATTTATTATTTTAATTTGAGAACTTAATAAAAGGTCAAGACAAAATGTTATTTTTTTAATGTATAGAATTGATCCATTTTATAATATGGGTCTTGAAGCCTTGAAGATTAGGTTTTAGAGGAGATTTTGATTACAAAAAATTCTTGAATATTAGAGTGAAAATTTAAAAACGTACGTTTTCATGTCCCTGGCCTTTTACTTCGTAGATACTGGATTTGTAGTTTATTAATTATTATGCGTTTTAATATTTTTTGGGACGGGGGCAACATGTTACACACATTTATTTGGTTTTTAATAGGTTCTAGGTATTTTTTTTCGTATTTTTAAAGTCTCGAAATTCACGACCATGACGTGTCCCTAGGGTACATTTTCCAACTTTCAAGCTGTTTTTAGACTAATTATTCATGCCGAAATATATAAAGCCATATTTTTATGTCATCAATGGTTATTAAACTTACAAAAAAGGAGCATATTATAATTTTATTGTCATTGCAAACTGACTACCATGACAAAATAAGTCTGTCCCTTGATTTGGCGTCACGACCATTTGGGAAAAATTTTCAACTTTGGAGCACGACAGTGGCAAGCCTGGCGTCGATGGAGTCAGTTGGTTTTAGAGACTAGTTCTGGGTGTACGCCAGGATTGTAGTGCCGGTCGTTTCGATTTGAAAGGAGGAATTACAAGATTAATAAAGGAAAGATTGTGTTTTTTGTAATTTTGGTGTGTCCATGACCGTACGTAGTCATTCGATAAAGTAGACATGGTGTTAATTTTTGTTTATAAGATATTTCAATTGCTATATTAACCTAGAAGTCCACTTTGTATCCTCGAACATGAGGTGCAGGGCTACCGCCAGAACAGAGCCAAATAACACGTAATGTCACGACCAAATTTTCACGACCATCGCGGGTTTTTTCACGACCAATCCAGCCTTATGGATTATAGTGTGTTTGGTCGTGACAATAACTTTAATATAATTGTAAATTGAACAGTCTAGTTCAATTGAAACACATTTTCATGACCGCGTGAATTTTGTATATCCACCTGGAATTTTCTATTTACCGCCATCGCGAATGACAACAGTGATGTTTCCGTGACCGCGAGACGACAATATGTCTACACACGGCCGAGAGGGATGATCGTAATATTTGCCGTGATGATAATGTCCACACAAACGCAGGAAACAGCAAGAATTTTGCCGCAACCGCGGGAAACAATAATTACGATGTTTTCACTGCCGTGGGAGACGATTACAATTTCTACAGGACCGCTGGAGATACAATAATGATTTCTACATGGCCGTGAGGGATGATCAGAATGCCGCGATTGCGCAAGACGATAATAATGTCCACACGACTGCGGGGAAAGATCAGAATTTTGCGGAACACGATGATGATCTCCGCAAGATGGCAGGAAATGATTACCATTTTGCCGCAATCATGGGAGGCGATTACTATGTACAAACGATTGTGGGGGCCGCGAGACGATGATAATCTCCTCACGACCGCAGGATATGTTCATATATTGCCGCAATCATGGAAGGTAATAATTATGTCAATACTACCGTGGGAAAAAAGCCAAAAAGCCAATATTGCCTCGCGCCCTAGGTACGTGCCTGTTCGGTAAATCGGCCCTGAGTTCAACTAATTTCACTATGAAAATATCTCTGGATTTTTAAAATACAGTAAGCAAATTTAAAACTGGCCATATCTAATCCTTGTTCCAGTGAAAGCTATAGTGTGATGGTCTAGAATATTTTTGCCTAATTTCATTACTAATTTTTAATTTGGAACTTCAGTTGATTTCACATACTCTCGAAACCTAGGTACTTTAGAGGCAGATGCCAGATATTTATCAAGTTGGTAATTATCAACCATTCCCTACAGTTATATTTTTTATTTAACTTAATATAAGCATAAGTTAGATGAAGTTATATACTTCATCTATGATATTAAGTGTCCAAGTAAACCTTATACCCATACCAGACCATTCTATCATATCATAACTCTACAATAATCCTATCCAGATTATTGGTGTGACACACGTGTGACCGCTTCAGCACGGGGAGACCGTGCGGCTAGGTCCGGGTCACGGCCTCCCTTATTTACTTTATCTTTATACCTAGTTTCCCATTCAAAGTTAACACTTCGTGCCTAAACTCGACGTGTTATAAATGCTCAAAATTTGATGTGTACACTCTTATTCTATGTATAAATTGATAAATAAGCTTTGATATCCCACGTGGTCCGTTTGTCTTTACCCTCCCTGCTCCCGTGAAAACAGGGGCAGCTCCAGAGGGCAGGCCAGGTAGTCCCTAAGTCTGATAAATCAGCAATTATGACATATCATTGACTACAGACATATCCACCCATGAATTTTTGGAGTTGTCTCTTTACAAGAGGACAGTATGGTAGATGGAGGGTAGAATGTAGAATCTATCTCGACCAAGTCTGATGGTTTGCATGGATGTGCATGAAGTTAATTAGGAGTTCATCTGCCTGTAGAAGAGCTGGTAGAGGCCCACTTAATAAATACCGTAGCTTATTCCCTATATGGGAAATTCGCTAAAAGGAAACATAGATTGGGTGAATGTCAACAAAAGGTTTGATTCCTCTGTATTGTGCCTCAAACTCAAAGCATTTCTCAACTTTTTGCTTGTGTGTCTGTCAAAAACTATTCAACAATTATTTTTCTTAAAATATTTGTGTTAAACACTATACAAAAAGTAGGAGAGGTGTAGTTTAGATAAATGAAAACTCTGAAGTTCAAAGGCTTAAAACATAACTCACTCAGATCTGGAAGTTTAGCCCTAACTGTATACGCTGGGCCTCTTGCTGGGCCATGTCTAGTTTTTCCAGTAATATTGTAGAGTCCAGGACCTAAGCTGAACTTGCCCTGTTCTAGCTTTGGTCTGAAGGAAAATGCTGGACCCATCAGCTTTGTAGGATCATGCCTTCGTGTTCCTACAGTTGTCGGAAGGGCATAGACATTAGGTGCTGGTCCTGCAACGCAATAATTTACCAACTTAAGTTGACTAACCATCATCTAATATGGAAATTAAAATAAATTATTGACCAAAATATGATTGCTTAATTTTCACAAGAACAATTTGATGAGTTGTATTCTACAATCATTCATCAACATAGGTACTTGACTCATACAGTATGTAAGAGTACGTGTGTTAAACTAAAAATAATTTCAGAGGTACTGGTAGTTATAATAATTCTAGAGCTCAGTCAAATTGTTATCAATTAACTTACCGCCTTTAACCATCTCAGATATTTCAAGAATTTCAACAATAAAAGTTTTTTTTTAAATTTTGCTCTAAATTTAAAAAAGTAATAATATAACCTATCTATATTGAATATCCAATAAAACAGCTGCATTGGTGAAAGTAGGTAAACAATTTTCAATAGCACCAAAAGTTAAAAAAACAAACAAAAAACTATACTATATTTGTAATCATTCTTTAGTTTATTTTTTTTTTTATAAAAAAACCATGCATTCATTACAATCTATATTTATAACCACATTTTTGAAAAAAAATATCAAAGTTTCTTATTTTAGGTCAAACAAATGCAGTGAAAAGGAACTAGGGAAGTCTTATTCTCATTGAAGTATTAATACATGGAGGATGTAGTGTGTACTTACACTACACCAAGTGTTTTAAAAACTACAGTACTATATTTCTAACCATTCTTTACTTTAATTTTTTGTTTAAAAAAACCATGCATTAAGTACAATCTATTTATAACCACATTTTAGAACAAATATCAAAGTTTCTTATTTAAGTCGTCAACAAAATTTGCTTCCAAATAACTATACTATAACTAATAAGTACTTATGGGACTTAAATTTGGTTTCTCTTTGCCGAGTTCGTTTGGCTTTTCTACCCAACCTATTCACGCAAATATTCGCCATCAAGCATCTGCATATATCTATCTATAATCCCACTCGGCTTATACGTCAACAAAATTTGCTCATCATGTATTTCTTAAACTTAAACTCTGTTGACTTAAACTTGGTTTCTCTTTGCCGAGTTTGTTTGGCTCTTCTACAGTTCTACCCGACCAATTTTCTTGATTGAGGTCTCAAATTGAAGGTATGCTCGCACAGATTTGCCATCAAGCATCGGCATATATCTATCTATAAATAATCCTATCGGCTTACGTCAACAACATTTGCTCCCCATGTGTATCTATTACAGGGTGAGTTTTAAATGCCCCCCCCCAACTTTTTTCTACATTTTTTCAAATATCAATCCCAAACCACTTCCAAACATTGTAGGGTAGTAAGTACTTCATTTTGACAAAATTTATATACAACTAACTTTTATTAGATTATCCTAAAATAAATGTAAAGAAAACATATTATATAGTTTGTTTTTAAAAGACAATAATCATTTTTTTATAAATTTAAAATTTCCAAGTAAAAATGTTTTTAGCGAATTTCCCATAAGGGAATAAGCTATTACCGTAGTACTCAAGGTAAGACCTGGACCCGGGACCGATTTACTTTTTCGTTTTGAGGTCCCTAGAGGCCAAAAACACCATCCGTTCAAATTCATATATATAAAAATACTAATGCAAAAATACTAATACTAAAATAATTAGAAATAGAACATTTTTATCTACTTGATTCAGATATAACACAAGATTTTTCTGGTATTTTTGATAAAGAAACAATGATTGATTGTTGTAAAGAAGGTAGATATAAAAAAAGGTTGTAAAATAATTGTAGATAATAATAAAATTGTTGGTAAAGATTGTTTAACATATTTTAGTCATAATTCTAGAATAAAAATATATAATAAATTTGTCTGTCAAATAACAAGTCCTGGTATTAATAAACAATTAAGTAATCATATTATAAATTTTGTAAATTGTCCTGATAAAAGATTAAAAGAAACTCTGATTTAGGAAAAAATAATGGAATAACAAGATTAGAAGCAACAATTTATAATTATGTTAATGAAAATTTCCAAACATACAAGGAATTTGATCCATTAAATGATTGTATAAATTTATTAAATCGAAATAGAAAATATTTTTATTATTCTGTACCATTACATAAAATGTGGAATAAATTAACAGATTCTTTACAAAATAGTTGTTGTTTAGTTTTTAAAGATATTTTACAATATATTAACTATGTAAATTTGAATACTAAAATATTAACAGGTATACAAATAAAATAACCTAATCATAAATAAGAAAAAAACAATTAATAAATTATATATTGTCTGCTTTTAGTTTTAATTTATTACCAATTAATTTCATTTAAGTAAAAAAAGATACAAGACAATAAAATAACTATTAAACATAAACGTTTTATAAAAGAAGGAAAACATATTTTTCTAAGTCAAGTACTGTATTTTCTACAATTCCAAAAGAAATTAATTTAAATGAATTAGGATTAATAGAAACAAAAAAAAATAGACCAAAAATGCAAAGAAAAAGAATAAATAATACAAACAAATTATATCCTTATTTATACAAAGAATTAGATTCAATTAATACTTTATTTTTAACAAGTATTAAAAAAAGAAGACAAGAATTAGAAGAAAAATTATACAGAAAAGAAAAAAATCTATACAGAAAAATTAAAAAATATACAAAAAGAATATAAGAGTATTTTAGAAAAAGACAAACAAATTAAACAAATAGAAGATGAATTAATTAATTATTTTTCTAAACAATGGAAAGAACTAAATATAAATGATAGTTATAAAATATCTGCATTTGTAGTTAATAATAAAAACAAATATCCATATGTTGGTGTTTTAGGTGAAACAAATAATGTTAAATGTGTATATTTTATAAAAGGTTTTTATAAAAATAAATTTATATAACTAAACAATAATAAAGACAAATTAAGAGAAAAAGGATCTATTTTTATTCCATATAATGGTTTCAATATAATTTCTTATCCGATAAAAAAAACCAATTATGGAAATAAAAACCAATGGTTTTACAACTTACAATGGAAATACATTCCCAAAAATTATAACTTTAAATGCATTTAATGTTTTTAAAGATAAAAAAAAAATATAATTTATAATGAAAAATATAGAAACAATACCCCCGCCGCAGCAAACCTGCAGACTAAGCGAATTTCCATTGACCTGATTGGATTTACACTAAAATGCCTCCATAAAAATAGCACATTTATTTTCTATTTAAATAGAATTAGTTTAACAAGTACCTTAGGTTTGCTGCAACAGGGAGGGTAAAAAAGATTTTTTTATAAAATGATAATAGTTTAGTAAGAAATAAAAGTATTTTCAAAATCGATCAAAATATGTTCATAAACAAGCAAATTACAACAGTTGACTTATTCTCCATAAGAATAACATGGGAATTTTAAAATTACAATTTTTTTGAATTTTCTCCTTAACAATTAGGCGCATAATAACGCTTCAATATACTAAATTATTTGTTTTTTTAAGCTCTACAAAGTGGTTTAAAAAGAAATTGTGAAATGTTGTGTTTTTAGCGGCAAAAATGGGAAAAACCTATTTTTACCCCATAAAACCCCCCATAAACCCCCGTTCCCATAGTCCGATCATGCTGGTTCGCGAACTCATTCAAGTTTATCCCGCCTTACACCTTCAAACCAAATTGTATCAAAATCGGACAAAAATTACTCAAGTTATCGTGCGGATGGACACATATATATATATATATATCTCTATGTATAGATATATAAAAATTTGAACGAATGGTGTTTTTGGCCTCTGGGGACATCAAAATGAAAAAGTAAATCGGTCCCGGGCTTAGGTCTTACCATGAGACCTACGGTAATAGCTACTTCCCTATATAGGGAAATTCGCTAAAAGCAGATCATTTAAGAATGGAATATATTATTGGAACTGTTAAAGTAAAAGATTGTAAAAGATTACAAAGTTAAGACAATGGATTTAAATTAAAAATAACTAATTTAAAAACAATTGATTATAGAAATAAAGAAATATATAATCTTTAAATTTGACAATAATCCAGATTGTTTTTTATCTAATTATTGGTTAGCAAAAGGAATACAAGATATAAAAATTATTTAAATTATAAGATAAATTTAAAATTAGATAAAATTAAAATAACACCTAATAAACATAAGGAAATATTAGTATTTTTATTGCTTTAAATTAAAACATTCTGGTAATTTAATATTATTTTCTTTAATATATTGTAACATTTCTTTTGGATATGGTTTTTGAATTTTTAACGTTCTTCTATTATTTTTTAATGTATTAAAACCAAAAAAAATTCTGGATGAATACAATTACTTTCTTTAGGTTCATATTCATAATAAACAATATAATCTAAATAATTATATAATAATATCCATTCTTTCTTGTCTATTATTTTTTTAGTTCTATAAACTTTTTGATCACAATCCCTAAAACAAATATATTTTGGTAAATTTAACTTATACATAATTTATTTATTTAGGATAATTTATCATTTAATTTTTAGTTTTACTTTTTTTAGGACAATAATACTCACAATCCATTTTAAACCATTTTATTTTATAATATTTTACATTTTTTTTATTTACTTGATTATCTTCCATTTAATCAAATTCTATCTGAAAAATAAATCATTATTAAATGGATAGAGACGATAAAATTTGTACCAAAAGTAATAAATTAAAACATCTTGATGAATTTGGTAAACAACTTGGACAATATATCTATATTGTCCAAGTTGTTTACCAAATTCATCAAGATGTTTTAAAACTAATTGTAAAATGCGTATAAATGAAGATGCTAAAAATAGATATTACAAAAATAAAACTAATAACAAAATTATTAAGTATTTTATAAAAATGAAAAAGAAATATATTTAATAAGTACCTATCATTTTAAAGAAAAAGAAAGTAATAATTTACATACTAATGAAATTTGTAAAGTATTTAAAGGAATAAATATTAATTATTGTAATGGTAAAAAGAAAGAAACATCGAATCTCATTTTCTGGAGCTGTTTCATATAAGTTGAGTTTTTATGGAAACTTAGGCATATTCATAAAAATTTTATCAAAATTGTATACTTTTTCCTGAAAAATATAAAAATATTGGAAATTGGCCTAAAAGAGGCGAAATTTTAACATATTAGTATTGAAAAACAACAAATTTCATCAAATTATTGAATTCGTACTTTTTTGGCCTAGAAGTAACATCATACTACCTACTTATATATGTGTATAGTGCATATTTAATATATATATGTATGTCCGGACGATAACTTGAGTAATTTTTGTCCCATTTTGATAACATTATTGGTTTGTAGGTGTAAGGTGGGATAAACTTGAATGAGTTCGCGAACCAGCATGATCGGACCATGGGAACGGGGTTTAACGGGAGGTTTTATGGGGTAAAAATGGGGTTTCTCATTTTTTACCCTTAAAACACGAATTTTATCAATTTTTCTCCAGACCTCTAGAGTTTAAAAAACAAATAATTTAGTACATCAAAGTGTTTTTGTACGGTGAATGGTTACGGAGAAAATTCAAAAAATTATTAATTTAAAATTCCCATGTTTATTCTTATAAAGAATTAAAATGTTGTAGTTGGCTTGTTTATGGATATATTTTTATCAAACTTGGCGGATTTATTTATTTAATACTAAGCTATTGATATTTTAATAAAAAACACACTTAATTAGTTTCCCTGTAGCAGCTAACCTAGGTACTTGTTAAACATAAATGTTAATTAAATAGATTAATTGAAAATCAATCCAGGCAAATGGAAATTCGCTTAGTCGGCCGGTTTGGTCGGGGGTATTTTGGTCTAAAACCTTCAGTGAAATACCGGCTTTCATTTAAGCTACCGTCTTAGTTATTCAAATCGGACGAGTTTCAAGCAAACGCAAGGAGAACAACCAACGTAAAATTATTTTTCATACGGGTTTTCAATGACTAAAAATTAGTAGGTCCAGTATTGTTCATGTTTGTTTTAGAATCAAAATAATCAGTAAATTATATGCTTAAAATTGAGCTATTGATGGTTTGAATAAGTTTCAAGATACTGTATTAACTCATCAAAAATCGTATATTAGATTAGTTCTTGGATATTATCTTATTTTAACGCTGCGGAGCAGCATGGGTCCTCTAGTTTTATTTTATACTATCTCTTCTCCTGTACATTTCTCTATGCTCAATGGTAAAGTTTAAGAGTTACATGACATAGCAATGTGCTTTCCACAAAGTTTATGATTCTTAGTTTTTTTTCCTTTTCTTCTGGTTTGTTTTGTTTTCTTTCTTACGACAGGGATAGGCTAGGCAGGCACTAGGCAGAAGCAGAAGACGAGGAGAGAAGTGCATTTTTATTTTTTATTTAGTTTAGGTTAGGCTAGTAAAATATAATAAATTGAGGACATTCTTGAGCGTTAAGTAGTTTTTTTCTGTAATCGACCTTAGGCATAAGTAATCTATCTGTTTAGGTTGAGAAATAGGCCTAGCAAAAAATGAGTGATGTATTTATTTCAAAATATCGATTAGTACAAGATGCTAAACCTCATTATGTGTACACTGTTGAAGTTTTAGGGAATTCGGTCCACCAAATAGTAGAAAAACGTTACAGTGCATTTCACGCTCTTCATAGAGAAGTAAGTTTGTTATTACTGTAGTTATTGAATTGTAAAGTCACTTAGGAATATTTCCGACCAAAACTGATTGCATTTTCATTTTTAGCGTTTTAAAAACATTTTAAGTAGACATAGGCCTAGAGTATTAAAATTACATTTCTAACCATTTTAGCTGTACATCTCAAAAATTAAAGACCAGTTAACCACACCACCAGTGTAGATCTTAAGTGGGTTGTAAGTTACCCAGGGCCGTTGGAAGGAGGGGGGGGCAACCGGGGCAAGCTGCCCCGGGCTCTCTATTATTGTATTAACATAAGTTTAGTATTAAAAAATGTGAATGCAACTATTACTGGGGGGGAGGGGGCACCACGACCACATTTGCTCCAGGCGCCGCCAACCCTAGGGACGGCCCTGAAGTTACCTGTAGTAATCAATAATTTTGAGACTTTTCATACATGAAACATTTATAAGGGCCTAATGCTAATCTATTAATCCTTACCCAGTCACTTATAATTTATTGCTTCATGTTAGTTTGTCCAGTGAAAACTAGTAACTTCCGGTACAGTAAGTTTAGTTAAGAGTTTGAATTTTACCTAAGTCAGGCTATTGCCTTTTCTTAAGATGAGGGAAAATATGATAGGCCTAGGTCTAGACAAAACCTGATAACTTATTACGGTACTTCAGTATTAAACGGAGGCCACATTTTGTCAGCGCGCTGCGGCGGTTATGTTAGGTTGGGTTATCGTAAATATTATGTGTGTAGGACTTTCCTCGCTTCGTTATGAATCGAACGATACTTTCTATTACGATAACCCAACCTAACATAACCGCCGCAGCGCGCTGACAAAATGTGGCCTCCGTTTAATACTGAAGTACCCTTATTACTTCCACACATAAAAATCTGTTGAAATGATAACTTAACCCTCCCAGTGTTACTTGACGAAAATTCGACAAGCAGCACACTTTGTGTAGTGTTACTTGTCGATTTTTCGACACGCAGACATCGTTTACGGCGAAGGCTCTATGACTGACTGAATCGGATTGAACTGGATCGAGTTAGGTATCGTTCTTTCCGTAATATTCTAAGCTTTCCCCAGAGGTCTGTCTCTAAGCGCTATTCATTTTAGTTCCGAAAATATTGTGGCAGACAGCTGACGTGCGTGTATTTGTAAACAGCTAGGTTACTCGGACCGATGACTGATGTGTTTTATTACGTTTATCATTGTTTTAGTGTTAAAAATCAAAAGTAGTGATATACGTGGTGCATTATAAGAAGATTTAAGTGGTTTTGAAGTGCTGGTTGATGATCCTGAAGAAGTAGGTAGTGATATTGATGTAAATTATCAGCCAGATTCCTAGCTATGGTTAGGCTATGCATTCTTAGCTAAACTCTATGTACTGAAATCAGTTTTTTGCCCATAACTTATTTATTTGCAAATCTACTTCCTTAAATTATTATATATTTTTAATCCTCATAAAATTTAGAACAAAGTGGCTATTTTCAAATATTTATAGGCCTATAATTTATACAATTTTATTGAGCGCAAACTTATTTTTTTTTTCAATTTTTCCAAAATAATTTTTTTTTTTTACCTAAATAAATTTTTTGAAACAAATATTCCTTATGTTTTATGTATGATATTGAAGCCCATGATTTTCCAAACAAAATGGTATATAGAACATTAGAATTAACATTGTTTTAAGTTTCTCAGATCTGTTTTAATAAAACCTTGCAAATGCGCCAAAAATAGGTGGACATTAAGGCCTAAACTATGGACACTTGGAGGGTTAAGTAACTTAACTCTAAACATTTTTCAGCTTAGGAAGCACTTCACAACTCCAGCGTTTCCACCAAAGCGCGTGCGATGTTCACAACCGAAAGTACTAGAACAGAGACGACAAGGCTTAGAACATTACCTGCAAACAATGATGAAGTTTGGACCAAGCCGTGCTAAGATCATGAACTTCCTTGGTGTTCCCGATGATGGCAATAGAAGGTAGGAATCTATCAACCATACAACTTTTGGTTTTTTCACTGTTCTACCTTTATATGACCTACCTTAATTGAGCGGAGCGAGCCAAGCTCTTTTACAAGGTACACTCCTGCTTTCAATCAAAACCGGCATTTTTCAAAAATACAATCTTTTCTCTATTTAGTGGTTTTTTTCTTGGAAGATTAACATAATTTATAATAATTTAAAGGGCTAAGTTACAACATAGGCCTATTGTACTACTAAATGTTTATCAAAATCCTTCGGGCCATTTTAGAAAAAATCTGATTTTTCTGTTATTTTATGGAATAATCACCAATAAAAATCAAAATTTCAAATAAATAAAAGAAAAATGCCTGGAGATACTATGGATCTACCTACATTCATAATTTCATCAAAATCGGACCACAGGTTAAGTGTGTAGCTCTGTACACATTCACACATGCAGAAACACACTGACATCACTTCGAAAACCACTTTTTTGGGTCCAGGGGAACCCAAATCGGATATAGCCTATCCACTCAAAACTCAAAAATTTTACTTTCTCCATATACTATGGTAGGGGGGGGGGAAGTAACTTAAAAGGTAAGTTAAACAAAAGAGACGTAACATGTCTCGTCGTAACATGTGTGACGTAACATGTGTGGTGAGTCGGTGGCTCAGTTGGTAGCGTCACGGACTTTGGGCCCAAGGCAGAAGTGTCGTAGGTTCGGATCCTGGTCACTGCCACAAACTTTTTATCAGTACAGTTCACCTTTGTACTGTACCGGCTCACCCCTTGCTTTGCTGGATACGTTCCACGCACAGATCTGTAGTCTATGTGGACGGGCAAATGCAAGGTTAAAAGAGGCCGCCAACCTCTTTTTTGAAAAAAAAAAAAAAAATTATTGTCTATGTATTGTTGGGAGGGTGGTGTCCAAGAGTCCTTATGGGCTAGCCGCCACTGATTACAAGCAATTTCTTCACTTTGCAGAGATTACAAATAGGCACTACAGAACAAAAGGAAAGAACAATTGAATTAAATTAATATCGTTGAGCATGAAATATTATAAACTGATATAGGCTACCAATTAGTGCATAGCCTATGTGCCATTGACAAAAGATAAGTACATACATACTGCAAATAGACATCCCATTTATGAAACACTTGTAGCCTGTCATTGACTTATTTAATACCCTTGCCGCAGCAATTTCTAGTTGACATTCGCTTAGTCTGTAGGTTTGCTGCGGCGGGGGTATTTTGCTATTACCTCTTTAGAAAGTTATAACTTAAAGGTGACAATGAGGCCTACTGATCGAAATCAGATAATGGGATTATTTGTTATCTTCTGATATGGAGTGGTGACAGCAGAAAGGAGGAGAGGAGAGGGCTAATAATTGTTGATAACAATTTGTTATGTTATATGAGTAGCATAAATGCCTCAACATCTCCAACCTGAACCTTTCATTTACTGTATAGCCTATCTTGTGTTTTGCAGTGAAGCAGCTAATACAGTGTCTCACAGGCCAGTGTTCAGAGTGTATTTGAACTCTTGTCTACACCCTTCACACAACAAACTGCCGGATATTATCACTGAAGGGGTCTTATCAGCTCTTTATACTCATTAGTTGATATTATTTACTTTACCTTTATGTATTATTGTTTATTTTGATCATGACTATCTGTCATTGTGATATTTTTATTATTTGTTATCTACGTAGTATATAATAGTTATGAATAAACATTTTGTACTGAGATAAATTGCGTTTATCTGTAATCCCATTAGTGTACACTATAGTATTTCTGAATAATTCGCTGTTTTTTTATAAATCCAACTTTTCAAAACTAGAATCAATTATATAGAGGCTGGCACAAACCTTCTGATAGTTCAACGTATCTACAACAATTGCTTACTATCTTTTTGAATACCAGGAACAGTAATCTTAAACTTCTAAGTAAATGGTGAACAGCAGAGGAACAACATTTGAATAAATAATACAAAAGATTTATTAAAAACAATTTAATAGTAAATATAGTTTAAATAATATTAATTAAACAAAACAATTGTCAATAGGCCTAATCGTTTTATGTTCAATGTAAATACAGGAATGTTAAAGCTAAAGAATCCACCTAGTTGCATTATTAAAAAGATTATGATCGTGAGTGAAATGATTGAAGCAATTTATTAGATGAAATGATAAGCAGTTTGGCACAATTTAGACTAACGGATCATCTGCACGCCTTTTCCCTTCCACTGTTCGTTGAAGTCAACTTTGCAGCCAAGGTCGCGCAAAGCAGACTTGGCGTCGTAGTCGAGCTCCTTGTGTTGGCGTCGCGCAGCATTGATAAGCTCCTCTGCGCCGAGCTTCAGGAATGGCTTACGCAGGTCCGGGCTGCGAGCAACAATGTTGCGAATCGCCCAACAGCAGTTTCTCTGCAAACACAAGTTCAGGTTCTTACAGTTCGGTTATTTATTTTTTTTAAGTAAGGTCTACTTGTTTTATTTGAGACTTTTACTTCTTATGATGTTTATAACTCACAAATAGAAAAAAAAATAATGTACACGAACAATGCTGAAATGTTGTATAAACACAGTTTATACATCAAAATGTTTGTATGGTTCTTTTCTTTTCATATCCGACCAACAAGCCTTTATAGTCACCAGGACTACGGACTTGCAAGAAAACAGATGTTTCCAATTCTTGAACTAACAAACAGCTGTTTGAAATAAAGTACAATTCAACAATACTACGTTAACAATTTATTGGAATTTAAATCAAAGCAAATTTAGTTGTTATTCATGAGAGAGAAAAACAGTCTTATTTTTCTAACCTGGACTTTCAACTCTTTCGGGTGAATTTTCATTATCTGGATAACAGCGTCGGGTGCTCCCTGCTCAACAAACACCTTACTGTTGTCTTGACTGCGGAGAGTTAATATACACAGACAGCCAAGTCCTGCTAAACAAACTGGCACAGATTTCTGCAACGAGATACAAATTGTGGAAATTAGTTAAGTCATTGAATTGACAGTGCTACAGCTTTGTACACTGTAGAAATAATGAACACACTTTGCATTCTTTAGAAATTCAGAAATAAATTGGCAAAAAACAAATGATTAATAATAAATCATTTGTTTTTGCCCTTTAATTATTTAAGGGCAAAAACTGAATGAGTGAAAAGGAGAACTTTCTGGCATCGTAGAGAAAATTCAATCCAACACCCTATGTTGGGGTGTCTTGCTAGTTTAGTAGTAGGTAGTAGTCAAAATCACAGACTTAAATCTGAGAGGGATTCAATCACATTTCTGCAAAAACTAAATAAAAACACTTTGGCTGCTTTCCCTTGAAAGGGATTGTGATTCCTCCATAAAAAATGCTACTACACAAGACACAACAATTTTTTAAGCCTTTGCAACTTCTGTGTATTCTCTTTCCTAGATGGAGTCATAAGAAAACCATTTGCAGCCTAAATAATACTATTCAATCATGTGGTAAATTTTTTACCAAATGGATTGTTTTGCAAATCATCGTAAGGATTAATCTTATATTTGAGAAGTCAAGTTTAAGTAACTAGGCTATGTTGTAAAGCTCATCGCTATGAATGGGTTACCTGATGCTGATGTAGGGCCAACATAACAAGGGCGTGAGCTCCAGACTGCATTACTTTGAGTTTGACGTCGTCATTGCCAGACAAAGCCTTTAGCAGTAACAGGGTGTTGCGAACTATCCTCTGTAGACAGAAAAATAGACTTCCTAAAAATTATCTTTAGCTGACCTCATGAGTGAGTATGTTTAATCTATAGTAACATTTTATACTGTATTGTAAATAAGAACAACATACTTTTAAATTCTTAAATATTATGTACCTATTAATACACTAAGGAAGAATTTATACACAACCAAAGAGAAGTAAGAAACAGAGGGTACATTCAATGGTATACTTAAGTGATGTCTAGAGCAAATTCTATTTGTCGTCCCCTTCCGCTCACCTTCCCCATCACCTACTGCAGCGCTCACATTAAATGCTTTATTAATGTGAGCGATGCAACTGCATTGCAAATGCTATGTGGCAATCGTCATTCAGGCTCTTACTCACTTGATAGTAGGGGTACTCACTTGGTAACTGCCAGTTTTCTTTCTTCTCCCTTCTGATGAAGTCCCTAACTGGGACGAAATATTAAGTTTTTCTGTGTTGTGTCATGTGTTTTATGTGTAATCAAGGCTAATCTGGACTCTATCTACCAGGTAAGCTAGCTGATCCCTATTCTTGTACATAATAATCCTCACTTGATAGTAGTACATTTCTGTCCCAACATATATGAGCTATAGGCGCACGGTTGTCCCATAAGCTTGTATCTTCTGTATCTTAATTCTCTGTGACTCAACTAATTTACCCAAGAAAATGAAAATAGTTCCAGGCACTTGACAGCACACAAGAAGTTCATAACACAATTAGTTTATTTTACTTTGTCAGCTAATTTACCTTTCAAATGCATGGAACTCATTTCTTAGGTAAGTAAGTTTTGTATTTATTCCTTCTTTTTTAATTAATTCTTAAGCCAAGTGCTTTTGCCACCAACAAATTTGTATTAATTAATAGAAACTTGATACCTTAAAGTTTATTTCAAATAATTCCCGTATAAAGTAATTCACCTCGTCAGGTGAGTAGCAAGTTAAAACATCAATGACAAACTGGATCCCTCCGTTTTCCTCGACCTTCGCGCAGAACTCGTTGCGGACGACCAAGCAGTTCATGGTCATCACCAACTCCAACACCAGCTTCTTGTCCTCTTTGTGTTCTGACAAATTGTTACAGTTTGAGTTCAATAGTTCAATTATAGGTAGCTACTGTGTTGGTTCATGTTACAAGTTCTAGGTAATATGAGAAAAGTCCCCACAGGCTCATGTATTCTGTAGTATTCTACCATGGTGGGACCTTGGTTAAAAATTTTACAAAAAAACCACAATTTTTATCAACAAACCTAAAACTTTCTTTGAGTGTTCGTGAAAATTATATCAAGCCACTGTTAATTCGTTTGGTATGTAGGTTTGGTGCATCATATTTTCAGACTTTGTAGCAGATACTTTCAAACTCTTGCTAAAAAATGGTGGTGATAAACCTATTCCAGACTCTTTAGATTAATACATTAGCAGTAAAAACTCAAATTAAAGTGAAGAATCTAAATCTTCTTGACTTTGGACAAATTGTGTTTTTAAAGTTTGTGATTAAGAATATAATTCATTTGATTTTTAATGGGAAATGTAAACCAATTTATTTTGGCTTGAAATTGAAGTAGTAGCCCAACAAACTATGTGCTTAATGTTCACATTTTCTGTTAATAAACCTGTTGAAAAAAGCACTAAACGTTATTATAAGGACTACTAGCAATTTCCGACTCACGGGCCAGGAGGTTTGTGAATGGACAGAGAAGATCAATAGCCAGAGCACTAGCGTGAGAATGAGCCTTGGAGACTTCTGCTCTTACGTCATCGTCCAGTGTCAATGCTCTCACAAGTCCGCAAAGGTCCGGTATCAAACTGGCGAATAAACAAGGTTAAGTAGATTAATGACATTTTTTAATTTGAACTCTTTTATTGTTTACTAATTAACTCCCAAGAATGAACTACACTGATCCATGACTGAGTGAGGGAGTAACAAACTTCTTCTTTACATTGGGTTTACGAGGTTTAGCTATCACAAAAAGACCGGTTCTCTTAGAGACAAACAGAAGACCAAACGCTATATTGCTGAGTCGCCTGCCTTTCCCCTCCACATTTTGGCATGTTTGACGACTCTAGGCTGCTTAGTTCGGCCACAACCTTTGTTTGTATCAAATTGTGTATTTGCCACTATTGTCGGAAAAATAGTAAGCATCATAATTGAGCTTGAATTTTTTGTGAAGCTTGGTAACCGTTAAATCACTTTTAAAAAGACCCGTAAGAGTATAGGACCTTTCTTGATGTTTTCCAAGGTGCAAGAACTAATGTCTATCCGTGAGTGCTTTTGTTTAAGCAAGAGGATTTTGAGCAGCATGTTTGAATTAATTGTTGTCAATTTCCACAGTCCAACCAACTGCATAGATACTAAAACAACGATCTTGACAGATGAGATTTCCTATTTTTCAAGGACATCCTGGGATACCTGCTTGTAGCTTGCAATGTTTTTGTCATTTTATTAATGTTCAATGCATGTACTAAATTATGTAATCTTTTTTTTAACTGATTTATGACGTAAATAAATTAATTGAATTGATTTGAATGATCTTGAATATCTTCCCTCTTATCTGTTTTATGATGCATTAATATCACTCAGCAAACTGTATACATAAAATCCGCTACCAATTTAGTTCCTCCTGACACAATTTTTTTAGTTAATGATACAATTTAGTTTTGCTCTAAGAAAGGCTATAGGCTGGGATTATGATCTGCAAAATAAATGGATAGCAGCTAGCTTTCCATAGAAAAAGTACAGATAGACAAATAAGAACCCACAGAAAAAACTGAACAAAATTGACTTGACTATTGGCGAATTTCCCTATAGGGAAGTAGCTATTACTGTAGGTGGCACGGTAAGACCTAGGTCCGGGACCGATTTACTTTTTCATTTTTTCCGTGAACACGATAACTTGAGTAATTTTTGTGCGATTTTGATGAAATTTGGTTTGAAGGTGTAAGGCCAAAATAAACTTGAATGAGTTCGCGAACCAGCATGATCGGACCATGGGAACGAGGTTTTATGGGGTAAAAATTGGTT